CCCGGTCCCACCTATTTTAAGGGGGGGGGGCTCTGATATATTGTGTACGACATGTATGATCAAATCCTCCAGAATATCGTATTTTTTATATTGTAAGATGGGGCTGGCGTGACGGAGTTCGTAGATTCAGTCCTGGCAGCTCTCCTCCGTGAGGCAGATGTTCAGCAGCCCTTGCTGCATCAGCGACGTAAAATGAGCATTCCAGAAATCTGGCTCCTGCCCGTGCTTCAGACAGCCATGCTCCGCCAGTGTGCGATAGTGTAAGAATGTGTAAGAAAACATACGAGATGGGCGGCCTGCAGCCATCTTTGCGGGTTCCATTGCGCTTCTGCAGAATAGACCTGCAGCAGAGTCGAGTCGCAAGCTACTGAAGCTGTTGAATCCCATCAGCACTCTTCACCAGCCGCCGAGCCACACTGTAAGCGTGAAAGGACACTATGCCACTGAGGTCTGGCAGGGGCTCGCCAGGTGCCCATGGCAGTCGCACGAAAGGCAACTCTGCAGCCTTGCCAGGCAATCTGCGCAGGCTAGACACGACTTGACAGTAGCCGTGAGGCGACTGGCCGGCGCCTCATGCGGGTCTACTGGGAAGATACGGCAAACTGGCGGAGCCCGCGCAAAGCTGTCAAGGATGTATTCATCCTGCCATGCAAAAAGTGAATCAGCACACACTCACACGGCTTGGTCACATGGCATCAGTGACGCCTGGTCTGCACATGCAGTCCTCAATGAGCAGGACATGGTACAAATCACAGAGTCGCAGCTCTTTCGGGACCCAGTCGAGTGCTGATCCTCGCCCCTTTGCCCAGAATGCGCGGAAATTGCAGACCGCCTGGCGCTGCTAGCGAATGCGAACCCATCCTAGTCCAAGACGGAATAAGTGATTCAGGAAAATGAAACGGTAGAATTCATGGGAGCACAGGCAACATCGAGAAAATGTCACTTCCTTGCAAATGCTGTGGGCAGACTTCTTGCTTGGCCAGGCACATGCGGTCCTGCCAACGAGCCAACATCTAGCTGCAACGCTGGAGCTGCATTGTTCGTAGCTTTCGCCTGGAAAACGTCCAGAAGAATGCAGGCCTCCGGAGCACGCACAATGACCCCGCTCCCAGTGCTCCTGCAATTGCCTTGCATGCAACCGCACCTGGGTGGTTTGTGTGGGCTGCGCTGGGTCAGCTGTGATGTAACCATGCTTGGCGTCCAGCTCCCGAACAATCAAAGGTAGACTTTCTGCTTGAACCGTGGGAAGAACCTTAGCTCACCGCCTCACGTCCCTGTTGAAATCAGCTGCAAAGTCAGTTCTCCTGACACAACTTGTCTTGCAAGCAGGGATCCTCTGTCCAAATGCGCCGCAGCTCCTGTGCAATGAGGGCAAGGTATTCATCTATCCGAGCGGGAAAGAGCTTATGTGCACCTCTTCCAGCAGTGTAGCTTGTCCGAGCACAAGCCAGCTTTGGAGAAGAAATCGCGAGACTTTGCCGCCCATATCAACAGAGCATTTTGCCGCGTGCTTGCTGCTTCTTGCGTCTACCAGTCAACTTGTCCGGACAATTCCTTTAGGTTTGTAGTTGAAGATGCTTGAAAGCTACATGGCAAGTGGGCTCATGTTCTGGTGGAACCACACGCACAGAGCCATCTGCACGGTGGACCCGAAGACCACCGTGGCTGTAGGAAGAAGAGGGTCGTCGAAGCACATCAGCAAGACAGGCTGACACAAGCGACTAAGTAGGTGAGCCACAGCCTTGGGGTGTGCCATCGGGCCAAACGTCCACGGTGCTTTCGAACCCTCATCGCCGCACGATCAACACTGTTGCTCGTCATTACGTGCCCAGTTCTTCAAAGCCAACATAACTACAGAAAAGAGCAGCTGCAAAACCCAAAGCACCAACGACGACGAGGTCAATTGACATTCCGCATCTGGATACTTGCTGCAGCTGCATGTTACCTTTTCATGCCTGTCCTATTGCGGTACCCTATTCAGCCGTGAATTGCCGATCCCTTTCGGCGCTACATCGCATTTTCTGGGCAAGGTCGTCACGAAGCATCCGCTGCTTTTGCTGGACCTGTGTCCATTGCTTGAGGTTGTGCCTCTATCGCCTTCTCATGGCTCCCCGCTTGAGGCTCGGCCGCTTGAGGTTCGGCATCTTTGGACGTGACCTCTTCAGAGCTCGGCTTCACCTCCGGTGAAGCCTCGGCTTCGAGAGCCCGAGGCTGAGGCTCTTCGCTTCCTCCGGCTGTCAGACAGCATGTCTCATGGCTGCGCGGTGCAGAAAAGCAACACAAAAAACATCGTCGGCTGTCCTTCCACGTCTGCAACGTCCGTCTTGGTCTCGTCAGCGTCAGCGGGATCATGCACACTGCCTTCGATTGCAGCACGAAGCGCCTGGCAATTCGCAGAGCTTGAAGGAAGCTGCATCAGGCATGCGTGTGGGCCGCCGGACCTCTACAGCGTCTCCGGAGGGCTGCTGCAACGACTGCCAATCCTCCGGCCAGGCCCAGCATGTTCGCCATCCCATCGCCTCAAGTAGAACTCAAGAAACATGCCGTGCACGACGAGAGCGATCCAACGGCCTTGCGCGCCTCCAGGGTCGACTCCATGAGGCGCCCAAAACCACTGAGCTGCTTCCCTCTCTCGGCTGTCATGTGCTCTTTTCTGGGTACGACGAGCAGGGTCTGAAGCCTGGGCCACTTTCTGGCTTTTGAGCTTTTGGGCATTGACGCTGAAGGCCAACTCAGCCTACCGCCGTTCAAAGGCGAAGTCGGCCACATAGGGCGTGCCACGCACCTTCAGTCGGCCACGGCTCGACCCGACACCCCACATCTTCGCTAATTTAGGATCCTGAAGAGCTCGTTTGCCAGCGAAGGGCCTGGAAAAGTTCTGCTACATCTTCTGATGGAAGTGCTGCAGGAAGGGCAAGACGCAGTCCTCTTACCAGTGCCTGGCCAAAACCAGGCACTTTCTCTCGCCTGTCACAATGCCTCATGCAACAAGCGAATGACACCACTTCTGTTTGATGAAGAGTGCCGTTTTTTGGCGAAGGTACATAGGCACATTATATACATAGAATTGCCCTTCTCCTACTGTTGCCTGTTTTGCAGCAACGGAAATGGCATGGGGGCAAGCACGCGGCCCCAAAAACTGAGATTTCCATTTCAAGGAACGACACACTGGGAATAAGAGGAAAAGTGCGGCGACGAGATAGTGGAGCGCGGCGCGCATCCGTATACTCGTTTAGTTGAGCAGGACATGCTTGCTTTCCGGGTTGATGCCGGGGGCCTACTTGCGTGAAATTGGAACGAAACTGCGGCCCGTTTTGGTTGACAGAACACAAAAGTGTGGAGAGCTCGACACGCCCAGCCGGGGCCCAGCCTTTATCATGGGCCATGCGCCTTGCACTGCACATGTTGAGGCTTGAGGCTCGAGTCCGCTGAAACCGGCTTGTGGGAGCACTGCTCAGCAATGGAAATGGAAGCCATCCACAATGAGATGATGCTCGCAACACAGCATGTCAGTGTTCCACGCCACGGACCAGTCAAGTGAAGTGTCGTTGATCATTGAGGGTTGCTCATATCGAAACTGTGGAAAGATAATTCCTTACTTCTTCTGGTTTGCTGCTTTTTGCCTTGTCTGAAAGGTCTTGATTCTACCCGGATTCTACCCCTATAAAGGCGTCGTGAAGCAGCAAGTTGGCCTCGCTTTCCAGATCCTTTGCGAAAGAAAAGGAGGGCAGCTGGACGTCCTCCTCCTCACAAGTTCACACACCGGGTCGAGACATGGGCTTTGCCTGAGCACCGTCTTGAGTCCAAGTCCTTGGAGAAAGCGAAAGACGTATCCAAGGCTGGCGCGTGTGGTGCAAGCCTTGGTCATTCTAGGCCACAGAAAGGCCGCAAGCGGAGCTCCAGCTTTAAAACTCTGTAAGCGAAGCAACCGCAAGGAGGCGAGGACGGTCTTTGACGAGAGGTACTGCGCGCACAGCACGAACGCCCATAGCTTTGGATCTGTTGTCAGGCTTTCCTCATGAGATCTTGCCTGCAGTCGTCAGTCTTTTGGTTGCATGACCAACATGAGAAAGCCGTTTGATGCACTGTGCCGCAGTGCAAACAAGGCACCACATCTCGCCCAGCCAGCTGCCAAGCGTAGGCTAGGATGTCAAAGGGTAGCTTTCCGCCGTAAGCTGATGCAATGGCGAAAACAAGCTCGACGGTGTCGACAGGTTTCCAGCCAGGTACTTCGGATGAGAAGTCGCGGAGCCCCCGTCGAATAGGCTGGCTTAAGGAAGAACCTTCAAGACCCAGAATGCCCACACATGTACAGGCGGCCTGAAGGACACCCATGTACGTCACAGGATCATCGCAAGCATTGCGTCTGGCGGTGTCAGTCATCAAAGGCACAACCTGTCAGGGACACACAAAGCACTTGCCAAGGCGCAGGTAGGGCCTTTGTATTTCGACCTTGTTCGTAAGCGACTTCAACATGTCCACGTTGTCGGCCCCAACCGATTCCAGCATGCGCCGCAGAAAGCTGGCAAGACCCGCTGAAACGCTCAGCCTTTGCTCCGCAAGCCTCAGTTCAATCTCCTCGAATGCCTCAGCTGTTCGCCTACCTGATCGTACAACGGGCCTAGTAAGGGCCGAGTACACCAGCGCAAGACCTGAAGGAAGGCCTTCAAAGTTGCAGATCCGTCTAAAGTCTGAGGAAGACCAAAGTCTCCTTTCTGAGCTTCGGTTTTGGCCCCACTTTGAAGCTTGTCCCACTTTACAGTCTTTGCAGTCCCTAGCTGGATCAGCACCCCACGAAAAGCGGCTCGACCCAAAGACATCTACTGACTTGCCCAGTGGCCACGGACAGCAGCTCAGGATGGACCTCTGTGAGCTTAAACAGGTCGTCGGGCTTGATTGAGGAAAGCCGTTTTCGAAGGTGCTGCGATAGCAGTGTGCACAGTTCGCTGCAAACCTCTTCATCCTTCGTCGCCTGGGTGAGCAGAAAAACCGAAAAACCATGCAGAACGTGGCCCCCCACGCAACAAATAAATCATCAGATCTAGTCAAGATTCCGCGAACTCGGCAAAGCATTCCATGATCGCCCTGGGGAAATGCAAGGTCGAAGCGTGGAACGTCGGAGGGTTTGGGCTAAGGCCGTCACCATTTTGAATTGTTTGCTTGCCGAATGCACAAGAACGACAAGCTTAGTTGAATGTTTGTGAATGCCAAACGCTACTGTAGATTCCTCCAATCAGAACCCTAACGTTTGAATTGACTGCATGGCCTTGTTTCGAGGTTGCCAGCTTCCTCTCTGCAGATGCTCACTGCTGCCCTCTTCAGCTCTGCTGAAGCGAGCCCCTGCCGCTGGAGCTCAGCCAGAAGAAGCAGCACGAACCGTTGCACCTGGAGGCTGCAGGCTAGAGCCTGTGGTTAGTTGAGTCTCGTTGGGGACAGCACATCTTCTACTGTTGCGGCATGGGCTCCTTAGCTAGGAGCTCCGATGGAGATGCAAGAAGCAGGGCATGCGCGTCAGACTCCACGGCCTCCAGGGTTTCCTGCCGCAAGCGTGCAAAAATGTCCTCCCTATGCATTCTGCCGAAGACCAAACCGACAGAGGCGACTCCTGCACCGCCTCCACCTGCGAATGTTCCTCGCCCGCAGCCTTCTCAGCCGCCTCGCCCGCCTCGCCCTCGTCAGCCTCGCCAGGACCAGGCTCCGACGTGGCGCCTGCGGCGTCGTGGGTGGCCGCCGTTGCGTTCGCTTCAGCTTTACGGAGGAGATCCAGGAAATGCTCGGAGATCTGCTGTGCACAATGACTCATGGTCACGCCGTTTGCCCTCATCGCACGTGCGGCCATCAGCATCTCCTTCATCGGCATTCTATCCTTTTGGACACCGTGCGATTCCAGGATTTCGCCTCAGTTGGGTGAGTGTACAAAACTCAGCGGTGCTAGTGTTATGGAGAGGTGCCGCTGTAACAAAAAGCATACAAATCGCAGAGTCAGCAATGTCACGGCCTGTGTCGTTGCAGCCTGGTGTAAACGACGATGCCACCCGTCATCGGATCCGTCATCCACGCGCAGGTTTTGCCAAGTGGCCGATCCGCTCAAACCGCGGCTTGAGATTTGAGTGGAGTCCGCCAAGACCTTGCTCGCCTTCGGGTCTCGAAACTGCTTCATATCGGGCCGGCGTCTGACGGCCTCTTTGCCTACCCTGCCAAACGACTCCATGCGAGGTGAAGGCATGTGGAAGCTCTTCAACGCACTCTGTTTCTAAAGCAACCAGCCTGCTTGGGTGAACAAGTTCCACAGCACCGTGGGATACAGGTCCTCCAGAGAAAACATCAACATCGGCCAAAGCTATGTATACAAAGTACAGGCTTGGTAAGGCAGCGGAGCCTGTCGCATGTTAATGCCCGCATTCAACAGAGCCATACAGATCGGTTCATAGGAAGACACGACCTCCAATCTCCTGCGACCAGGCGTCACCGAATGAACATGAACCGCATTTTCCAAAACGCATTCTCTCAAAGACCATGCGCTGCAGTAGCGACTGACGTCCACTCTGGATCGCTTCCGGCCTGGTGACTGCAGCCACTTGCTGCGGATCGGGAAAGCCGGTTGACAAGATCGACTTCATTCTCAGTACCAGGAAGCCGGTGAGCCTTTGTTCACCTGGCGGCACCGGAATGAGGCTAAGATAACTAAGATAACCGGCAAGCTTGTTGCATCGATGAGGCGTCTGTCTGCCGGACACATCACCGAAGCTACGGATCACAACGATCGAGGACAGAACACTGACGCATGCGATCGTACACTGACAGAACCTTTGCCCAGCGCAACGTGTCGGGTTGCACCTTTCTTCCTGCTCGCAGCAGCACGACGGAGGAACTCCAGCAGATCCAGGATATTCTGCAACCTTGGAGCACAACACCCACACCTGAACAATACATACTAGTAAGTGATTGCCTTGTCTGGCCGGAAGTTCCAAGCACTGCTTGTAAAACTGAGTTTGCCACGACAGATCTCGGCCTTTGGTCTCCAATTGGCCCCTGCCGTCGGTTCACCAGAAGGGACAAGCGTGACACTCAAGTTGCAGAATGCAACTGAGGCCATTTAGACACAGCGGCAGAGCATGTCCGAACAGCCATGCCGACAGTGCTCTGGGCCTGAGGAGTTTCCACAGGTCGTCTTCGACGGTGTCAATGACGGGCAGGAGGGCGCATATTGCAGGTGTCTCCAAAGTACCCCCTGCGGGCGCAAGACAAGCTGCTAGCCAATCAAAGTCAAGTGGTGAACTGCATTCGTAGGACGTCGTAGGATTCACCAGCATCTGTGCAAAGCACCTCGCTTGACAAGCTCTTGCTTCATATGCGTCAAGACAATCGGGTCGAATTGGGCGCCCTGGCATATACACGCACTCTTGCATGTACGGAACAAAGAGGAGGAGAACGAGAGAGGGAAGGAGAGACAGCGAGAGAGGCACAGCTTTCGTGGAGATATGTGGAGATACTTGACCATTCATGTTTCCTGCCGTATGCATGCGCATGCACAGAGTCATAAATTATAAACCATGTACACACCTGCAGATTGCACATCATATGCAGCTCGCAAAAAGAAGACGGCTTCTGCACACACGCACACACAGGGACACATCCGACCGCACAGTTGTACATAGATTGCTTACGTGTTGTTCTATGATTAATACTCTTACGTAATTACTTATGTATAGATCCATAACCGAGAACAGAAATCCTCACGAAATCAGATCCAAGACATGCTTTATTCATGTAAGCTTCAACATGGCACCAGCCTTCTGCAAAGCCTTGTGCAGAAGCGGAAGAAGTTTTGACAAGCTTTCCGAAGTGAAGTCCTGGCATAGAGGGATCTCTTGTTCTGCGACATCCCGCTGAATGCAAAGAATCCGTAGTTCAACTCCAGACTACAGACCTGTCCAATTTGAGCATGACAGTCCAAATTCCATAAGACATCCGCGGCCTCCAGCCGCTTGGTCGCCAACCTTGCAGAGACCTGCAGCACCTGCGAGTTTGAGGCCAGCTCCTCCGCCCGAGAAAGCGCCTGGATCGTCACACTTCTTCACGATGAAAGAGGGAACATACATGCTCGGTTTACAATGAATCATGAGTTTTGCTGCAGGAAGGCTGACTGCAGTGGCATCTCATCCACCTTTGGGGCAGACCGCAGTGCCTGGCAAAGTTCCAACAGCCCAAGCATGTGGAGAGGACATGACAGGGCCTTGGCAAGCTTGGAGTCCAGAGCATGCAGCTTTTCTCGTGGCACCGCACTCCAGACTCGGAGCAGGTCCGGCATCTCCATCTTGCCTGGCGGGCGTGCGCGCGAGCGCGCCGTGCACGCAGAGAGATGCAAGCACATCTGAAACAAGTCTGGCCTTTAGCGATTTGTTTGTCAACGAAAGGCCACAAGCGCTCGGCATCGCCATGCATGTTAATCCTTGCAAAATTTCGGCACCACAGTCATGGCTCAAGCTTGGGCCTTTTTTCAGGCTTTGGTCTGAGGCCTTCGGATGTTGTTGTAGATTCGCGAGAGGAGCGTCGGAGAAGTGGTCGAGAGCTCCTCCCCTTGCTCGAAAATGTGGTCCCGAAGCTTCACATAGCCTGAACACTGTCGAGATGTTTTTGGCACCGTTTGTGATTCTGTCTTGAGAAAGCAACACATCTGCATGCATCTGCTGGCTGCGGCTGCAGCCCTATTCGACAACACGCGCAACAGCGGCTGCGAGCTGCGTGAAAGGCCTTCGTGCTTCTCGCACTCCACCACCCAGCTGCGCAATGCTTTTTGTGACCTGGCCGTGCTTCTCCGATCCTTCGTCTCCTTCAGGAGGGTTTGCCTGTCCTCGTGTTTTCGATTTCGATGCACTCGCGGTGAAGGCAAAGCGACAGGTCCAAGGTTCCAATGAATGTCTAAGACGCCTGCCTTCCGCAGGTGATCCAGAACGACAGCAATCTCACCAAGGGATGGAGTCCTCATGAGAGAACATCGGCCAAAAGGGTCGGCCCTAGAGGTTCCAACGATGCAGCTGAAAGTCCCCTTGTGCTCTGCATAGGCCTGCAAGTACTGGTGGCACAGTCCACCTCAGTAGAACTCACGCAAAACTGTCCTTCAGAGCCTTGGCACAGAATTCTGGGCCGAATGCTGGGCTTTGCAGCGGCATTTTGCACTCTCTGCACCGCTCTCAACAGCGACATCGTTCGATTCAAGTGGCCATGGCAACATGTTTTCGGCAAGCACAGCTTCTAAGCTAGAGTCTTTGGGAAGTAGCAGAGACATGTTAAGTCTGAGCTCTAGGAAGTGACCCTTGCCTGCAGAGACAGGAATGGCATTCTGCATGCGGCTGACTGAGTTTCATGCTCCTGCAGATAATCGGGTACCGGTCAATATCGATTCCAGGCCAGCCCAAGACTTTTACAGCTTGAGTCTGCAGAGACCGCCAACGAAGGAGACAAACACACATGCAACTGCAGGACCCTGCGTGCGTAGCATCAAAGTAGCCATGACCTGCTGTTTCAAAGCCTTGAGTCTTTTCAAGGTCGTCTGGGTTACATCAACGAATGCCCCGGGTGGCTAACCTACAGCACAACGGCATGACATCTGGTCACATCACCTGGCATCTGAAAGCTCTGCCTTGTCATACATCTTCTGTCGGCGCATGCATTAGCTTTTGGTAGCCGAGCGGCCCTCTCGCTCGGAAGTTGCAATGAAAGATAAGGGGTAATATGTGCAAAACTGCAGGTAGCCAAGGTATCCTGACCTCGCAGATGGTGAGGCATGTATCTATTTCGGGAGTCTTGGACTGTCTCTGTATGCCCAGCAGAGAACGCAGGAAACTGGGAAGCAGTGGACAGTTTGGGAAGGAAGGAGACTCTTGGCGAAGAGGGTACATGCGTGGCATCGCTCTGTGGGGAGGACTCCAACTCCGGCACCCTCCTCCACAGATGTACCGTGTTGCCGTTCTTGTTGCGTCCTACGGGTGCTGTGGGATGACACGACGGTGCAAAAAATAGCTGCAGCAGCGCAGCGCCTTTGGGTTTACAAGCCAAACCAGAGCGGCAAAGGACCAGCTTTCTCCGGCTTTTCTCCCGCTTTCCATCTGTTTCGCTAGGAGTCTTTGAGGGCCAGGCCCAAACTGCCGCAGAGCTGAAGGAGCTTCACTTACTCTTCGTGCAATGGATCACTTTGTAGATGATATATATATATATAATTAATTCATTAATTAATTGATAGATAGACGCAAGCGGCCAACCTTCCAGGCGAGCTCCTGCATTCTGTTGCTACGAGATGTGGCCTCGCAACTGGCCTGCAGTTCCGACAGCCGAGCTACAGTTACAAGCTCTGTCAGATGCGGCATATGCTTCTCGGCGATCACAGGCATATCTGCGCAGCAGCTATGCTTCCAGATAAAGTCCGCAGCAGAATGCACTGATGTGTAGACGCAAGCGTGTTCTGCACGCCACGGTTGCCTGATGCCGCGTTCCTACCTCCGTCGCCGCCGTCCTCGGTGGTCCAGGGATCGCTAGTAGATGTTGGCAGAGGGAGAGAAAGACAGAGAGAGAGAGAGAAGGAGCGAGATAGAGAGACTGAGCAAACGTGACATCGTAAAACCACATGGTTCGGACTGCGACATTCTCAGCGATTCATGATCTGACTTTTCTTACTTCCGGTTGAAGAGCACCAGGCAGCATGCAGCATCTTACTGCATAGTGCCCAGGTGTCGTGACACCAGAGGAAATCGAAAGAGATTTCGAGATGAGGCAGCAGCGTTCGGCCGTCTTGCACCCTCATCTTGGAGAGCTACATGTGCACCGCTACGACTAGGTACCTACGGCAATCGTTCATGTCTTGCTCAGGTGCTCCAGCACGAAGTTCCTCAGCAGTCCGACCTGGCGCTTAGAACCGAAGCACACCTTGGCCTTGGGCCTTGGAGCAAAGTGGAGCCTCCTCGGAACACAACTCGTGCTGCACATTCGGAAATTCCAGGAGTTCCTCCACCGGGAGCTCCGGTGCCAGTGCATTGTCAAAAACATCCGCCAGTCGACACTTGAGCGCATCTTGCAGCTAGATACACCAACCATTTCACTCGCCCATCACCTCCCTTTAAGCAGTGGGCGCCCAAGAACTTAGATAAGTGCCGGCCTACGCCCAGGCTAGCGTAATGCCAGACTCCGTTCAAGACCTAAGGCCTACAGCGCATTAGCAATACCAAGTTGCAAAAAAACGTCAGGTCCACCAACGAGCTGTTCACTCTATGCGACGACAACACACTACCTCTGTTCAAACAAAGTGTTCTTTCAACTCCTTTTCGGAGTTCCTCCGTCCTGATTGCTGGCTTCTGTTGTCCTTCCCGCTCTCATCTTTTGGTGCTTCGTCGACTTGCCCGCTTATTGCCCGACGTTTTTTTGGTCGCCGCGGCTGGTTGCGACGTGGCACTCTCAGTCATGCATCTGACCGAGAAGCATGCGGCATGCTGAATCTCTGGACTGTCACCACAGGGTCCTTGCTCGTGATGCCTGCAGCGAGAAGACGCCTGTGAGTGGCCCGCGCCCATTCCAGCCGAATCATGCCTTGCCAGCAGTTAGCTCCTGCGTTTGCGTGTCTCAAAACCCATGTCGTACAGCCTACGACGGTGTCTTTCCACAAAAGCAATTATAACTTTCAGGCTCGCACCGTCCGCTTGGCCTTAGACAGGATGCAGTGATAAAAGAGTCAGAGCGACTGCGGAAGGCGTGGGGCCGTGTGCCATGAAGAGCGGCGGCGAGGAAGCGAAGCGACGAGCTGCTTCGTCCAGGCCTGGACGCACTTCTGTGGCGGCGGAGGCTCAGCGATGTCTCTCCCTTCGAAGCTCTGCGCCCTGCAGCTGTCTTTGGGCAAAAAGGTGCTCAAACTGGCTACCATGCCCAGCCTGCCCAGCTACAGCACATCAAGTTGTCAGACGGTGTCAACACGGCTCCCCGACCTTCCTGCATAACGTCCCATGCCATAGGCAACATGCAACGCCTGGGCACACACAGCCTGCCTTGCATGATTGGTGCCACTTCGATTGGGGCAAAGCGCTGCTGCCCACAAAGCAGCAAAGATGAGTGATCCACCAAGCAGCCACCCATTGACATACCACCGACCCCTGCGACGAGCAATGGACGCTGCAGCGACACTCTGCATCATCACATGAAACGAGCTGGACACCTATCTTGGAGATCGGAACACCTGATTCCACAAGCTTGTCCTCAGCTGCTTGTCTGCGAAGCAGGGCCAACAAAAGGTCGTTGCTTCGCAAGCAAGCAGCGATCTCTTTGTCAACAAGCTCCACTGACCTGACAGGCCGTTCATAGCAGCTCAGTTGCTCCCTTGCTCTTTCTCGCACCCGCGTGTGCTCCCTCGCGAACTAGCTTGCTGTTTTGCTCGGGGTGTACGGGCAAGCCTCCGCGTAGTCATTCCTCCAGTCTCGCGCGTGTCCTCTTCCAACTAATTGGGTTGTTTCTTAACGGACAAGATGCTGCCCGGGATCCAGCTTCTGGTAGGACCGCAGTGCGAAAGGAGGTCCGTTTACTTCCCGCCTACTGTTGCGAGGTTCTCCTTCTAGTTCTCCGCTTCACAGCTCTTGGGCTCATTTAGATTCAGATCCCCTGAGCAGAAAACACACACCCCAGTGGCAGCACACCCTACTCGGGTATCTATGCTTGTTCGATTGAATGGGGGGGGTTGCCGTCGATTTTTCTCCGTCTTGCTTTTGCTCCACAGGAATG